GGTGATCATTATCAAGACACTGTGGGACGACTCGCGACGGCGTTCTCATAACACTCGGGATATCCTGCCTGACTCACCCGAACCGACAGACTCCTGGGCTACTGCTTCAGGACTGCTTTGTTTTGTCGCCTTAAGCTTTGGTGTACTGATGTGATGGTTACGGAGTTTGGAATTTCAATTGAGGAATTTACTTCGGATACGGATCTAGACATACTCTTGATTTCAATCAGCTACTGCTTAGCCTTTGATTGAACTTGAGAAACTGACATTGTCATACAAAATAGATATGCTCTTTTCATCTGCGGTTCGTTTTTGCTCTAAGAGATTCTTGAGAATGCTTTATTTTTGAAAATATCACATTGAGCTTTAATGTACTGTAGTAATAGGCTGCACACTATGTAATTGTATTCAGGACTTTGTACGCTATACCTATGTAGATATGCTCTTTATTCTTATTGGATGTGGTTCATTAGGGTCGCCGGATTTCTACCCCCGGATATTTACCCCCATGAAAAAACACCTACGTCACTTTGAGGTCACATGTATGGGGGTAGATTTCCGGCCGCGAACTTTTAGGATGGATAAATGATTATTTATTCAATCAACTCGCATTTCACGGTTTACTTAACAGTTGTAATTAATCAAAATGCTAATAAACCTGACAACGGAACTTTACCCCCGGAAATCTACCCCCAGACATCTACCCCCAGACATCTACCCCCGGACATCTACCCCCGGACATCTACCCCCGGACATCTACCCCCAGACATCTACCCCCGGAAATCTACCCCCAGTGGTCAAATCATAAATGTCCGATCCCGGAATTCTACCACTGGAAATCTACCCCCCGTGCTACGCTACGTATCGGCCAATATTCATTGTTGTAGTTGATTTTAGTAATTGGTTTATAAAAATAATAAATGGCTCTTCGTTTAGTAATTACCCTCTAATATATAGTATTAAGCATGTGATATGTCGTTGTCTTGTTTAATGTCATCTATCTTCCCAATTCATTAAGCTGTAACTGATTTAGTTGTCATTTTTAAGCTTAAGATTCAGTGCAACGCAAATTGTAATTAAAAAGGATATTTTGATAAAGGGCTTCAAAAGTTTAACCCATAAGCATTTGATTTATTTTCAGACAGTGATTTAAATGGTTGACCAATTTTCACATACACTAATTGCTAACGGCACATGCACGAGCGCAGATCGTGAAATTTAAAACATATCACTAAAGGAGGTTATTTTCTGATTAGGTACTAGTGGTAAAAATGCAATTAAATGTTGATAAAAAGCCTGCCACAGGTTGATTAATGAATTAATAATTTTTTCATTATCAATTACCTTTTAGTAGTAGGAAATGGCATAATCCCTATGTCGTAGACACTGTCCGGCGTTTTATATTGGCCAAAAAGTCTAGTTGTTTACCCAAATAATTATAATAAAAAATAAAACATAAACATATTTTATGATTTGTTCTGGTTGTCAATGCTGGTTGTGAAATAATGGAGAATAATGTAAAAGAATAAAATTGGATATTTCGGGGATTGGAGTCGTGGTAACATTATTGAAAAAACGTGACATTTTGGCTGTAAAAATGGCACAAAGTAACTACAAATCATAATTAGTTTTTCGATGTATGCGTTCCTGAACCAACCTGATTGGCGGCAGTTTCGTTTTTGTTTTTAAAGAGTAATGGCAAAATCTTAGAAACTGGCTTTTAAAAGCACTATGTCATATGAAAAATCGACCATTTTACCCCTGACTTGTATTGATCCTCTTTCTCAATTTAACAGTCTACAACTGAGTTTTGGTTTGCTAGACAATTATTACTACTACATTAAATAATTCGGAAGTTCACCACAGCTTATTAACTTCATCCCTTAAGAAATGTGTGTAAAAACGATGGTTCACTACGATGTAGGACTTAAAGGAGTACCATGTGCAAAGTGCGCAATATTATATTAATTTCAAAACGTTTCCATCTCTTGTTTACAGTCGCAGACGATCTATTCTGGTTTTCAACCTGACTTAAAAATTGATCTGATTAGTAATCTGCTCACATTTCACATTTAAAACTGTTACTGTATAGTGTGAAAGTTGGTCAACCATTGGAAGCACCTTCTAGGAATAAATCAAAGGCTTAGGGGTCAACCTTTTGAAGCCCTAATCAAAATATCCTTTTAAATTACCATTTTGCTCTGCGCAAGATCTTAAGCTTTAAAATGACACCTCAATCGTAACAATCGGCGAAGTAGGTCGGGTGAAAAAGGACTGTTACAGTTTATTGAATTAGGAAGATAGATAATGTTAAACAAGACAATGACATATCGCATGCTTTATACTGGATATTACAAGACAATGATTAACCGAAGAGCCGTTGATATCCGGGGGTAGAATTCCGAGGTCAGATATATATGATTTAACCACTGGGGGTAGATTTCTGGGGGTAGATGTTTGGGGTAGATGTCCGGGGGTAGATGTCTGGGGGTAGATGTCCGGGGGTAGATGTCCGGGGGTAGATGTCCGGGGGTATATGTCTGGGGGTAGATGTCCGGGGGTAAATGTCTGGGGGTAGATATCCGGAGGTAAATGTCCGGGGGTGGATTTCTGGGGGTAGATGTCCGGGGGTAGATTTCCGTGCTATGGCAAATCACTTTATAATCAAACAATTACATGTTGATTAGTTAATAATATATTGGGGGTAAATTTCCAGTCGCGGGCTGTTTCTCGACCGTGTATATGCCCCGCCCCTCGTGACGTCAAAATGACGTAGGCGTTTTTTCATGGGGGTAAATATCCGGGGGTAGAAATCCGCTACCCCGTTCATTACAATGTGGTTGTGCTTAATTCTTGGAATAAATACTTTGCTATCTATCAGGTTTTTTTGTTTTTTTTTACCAACAATTGGAGGGAAGAGGTACCCTGACACAAACACAAAGATTACAATTTTCTGAAAGAAATGCCCCTGGATGGTGAGGAAAATCATGAAGTAATACCAAAAATGTCAATGCAAATTTAAGACTGGCGCACTGTTCTCGATTTAATCGGAAGATCAAACAACTTAAACATGTAACACTACTCCAATTTAGTTAGTTAATTACTGTTTAGTCAAAATGCATGAAATAACTTCTTGATCAAATACATTGTAATAGCCATGTCAGTTAGACAAATTTACAACCTCCTCAAAGCAGCTAATGATGCGATTATGTGGTGAGACTTCCCAGGGCCCATGTCCGTAGAACACCTCAGTCTGGCTGGTAGGTGGGGGGGAGGGGGTCAAGCATCAATGAAAAAAGAGAATGAAGCCGAAAAGCGTCGCTTCCACGCGGATTAGCTGTTATTTATAATTTTTTTACAGCGGCTTTCAAATAACAAATTGGCCGTCGGTCGCAGCGCTCGGCTTATGCTCGGACTGACTTATGGCGCGGCGCACGGCTCTTAAAGTCACCGGGTCGGATCGAAATTTGTGACCCTAGTCTTTGTGGCGCCAGGGAAACAAAATCCTTAATCCTCGAGGTCTTGATCCTCGGCCGTGCGGATTTTATAACCTCCGACACTAATCCTCTCTCTTCATTCATGGCTTCAAACAACTTCCTTCTTAAGACCCACGGGGAGGATCCGAGGAATATAATATTTCACTTTTAAACGGCTGAAATATAATCTTTCAGCAATCCTCTTAGCTTAGGTTTGATTGGTCTTGGCTCCCTTCTTGGAACCTCGTTTGAGAAAGGAAATGGTCTTTTATAAATCCTGAGGTGTATATTGTAGTAACGGGTTTAAAGACCAACAATGACGTTTTTAGACACCTTGACAGCACATTCCAAGAAGTCTAAGAATCTATTGGACGTAATGATTGTCTGATGTAGGAGTGAGTGACTTTTGTGAGAACATTTTTTCATCTTCTAGTTTTCCAACAACTTAATCTCTTGAAAAGTTACTATTATTTGGAATAATTAATTCCAAGAGCTTTGAATGTTGTGAACATCGACCAAATATAAACGTCCCAGTGGAAACGTAAACTAATTTTTAAGGTTTTGGCATAGCCTATGCATACAAACCTAATATGTCAATATAACTGAATAACACTAACAGAACAATTAAAATATCTAACAGTTCCTTTAACAAATCCCCCAAAAAAGATCCACCATGATTTATTGATGCAGCAAACTGTAGCAAACCTAAGAATGTAGGAGATGTGGTCTGCTTGACAAATGTGGGCTATCCCGTCAATTTGCTAACTGACCACCTCAATATTTCACAGCTAACTAGGTTTTTACCACTGGTTGGATGGCGCCCGACGCTGGTCCTCTGGATTTACATAGGTATGCTGGGCGGCACAAGTGTTAACATGGCAGAATTTATAGTCTCAGGACCTACGGGGCGCCCGGATCAGATGTTATCAAACGTCTGTCTGCCCACCTCATCATGTCATCGCCCCTTCCCACTAAACTGTTTGTAACGTTTAATTATCCATTTAAAAAGTGCCCGTTTAGCAGCCCGCCCACCCCTGCCCAATATTTCTTCAGGTTTCTCAACATGGGGAATTCTCAACCGTCCAGATTTTTGTTGAAAGAATTTTTGTGATGCTGAAACTTTGTTCTGAATATGTTTCTGACATTTTTATTATAGTCTATCCACTATCTGGCCAGAAGTGAACAAAAAATAAGAAATACTACCTTCATACTTGCTTGGCAACTAAACTAATGAATATCATGTCTAGCATTAAAATAGTCAAACCTAAGTACTGTAACTAAAACGCAATACGGTTGTAATTCGTTTTATTACATGCACTGCCATGTTATTCAAGGGTTATAAAACTATTGAAATCCCTAGTAGATCCAGTGCCTGTCAAATTTAAATCACATTCATTTTTTTAGATAGATGTTTGATTTCAACTATCGAGCCTTGTTATGAGCTAAATTATCAAAAGGGGATGTTGAATGGATCAATATTAATGTGTTTTCTATACCTCCTCTAATGATCCTGTCATGTTCCAGATGGATGTTGAAGCTCGGCTGGTGCACCTCCTGAGAGTGCTGCTCCTCGCCACCGCCGCTGCCAGCCTGTCCGACCACCGCCTCCCCCTGTCACCCCACGACCTAGGACTCCGCCCTGCCTCGCCCGAGGACGCACCTCCAGACCTGATAGAAGACACCAACAGGTACCACGACCCGCGGCCTTCAGAGCTCAACAGCACACTGCTGCGTCACAAGCTGGGGAAGAATCTTGACACTTCCTTCATGAGTGTTTCACGTCCCAGGGACTCCAAGGAGTTCTTCAACCACTCGGACTTCCTCTTCAGGAGGAACCGCCGAGGACGGCTTGTGCCCGTGGGAGACATGCCGAGGCACCTGAAAGACATGGACTTTAAATTCGTCAGACTCCCGGACGGTACCAAGTTGAGAACGAGGGTGTCAGCGAAGTTAAAGAAGAAGTTGCAACAATTTCTGTGGGCGTTTACTTCTTGCCCGGTTTCTTACCGCTGGAAGGATCTGGGCTTGAGGTTTTGGCCACGGTGGCTCAAGGAGGGTCACTGTCCGTCGGGGAAGACCTCCTGTTCCATCCCCCCGGGCATGAAGTGTCGACCGTCGTCCACTGTCCACAAGACCATCCTGCGATGGCACTGCCGCTCTCCGGTGTTCAACAACGCCGCTCTGCAGCCCCATCACAGGTTGTGTAGTTGGATCAAGGTGGAATACCCGATAGTGACCCAGTGTTCGTGTGCGTGTCCTGGGCAAAACAATTCCTACTCTTGAACCCTCCCTTCCCTTGTACATTGTAAATACTGTAGCTATGAGTGTCAAGCGTGCGAGATTTGTGTGTGACTTGCTGCTGAACTCTTGTAGTTAAATTCATGTTCAATATTTCAAGTTCCTATTTCATTTTGTTATTATCATATCTAACTTTATCTATCAATGAATTTGACAATCCAAAATCATTATGTACAATAATAGTTAATATGCATGTGTATACAGTATAAATTGTTTAAATTTTTCAATCATCATCTCAATCGTCTCTAGTCCGATTTAAAAACGTACACTTGCACATTTTCAAAATATAGTATAAACTTGATTCCATTCGATTTATCATTGAATATTTCAAGTGAAAAGGGATTTTGATCAATTTTTTTGTGGACATTTACGTATGCAAATATTATAGAAAAGCTTTAAGCATTTAAATACATTTTAACTTTACTATTTATGTTTTGCAATTTAATAGGTGGACATCTACAAAAGTTCAGTAGCAGTTGTAGGGTGTGTAAGGTTTGCAATCGCTTTATTTATGTATTTACCATTGATAAGGCTGAACAAAATAGTGTTAATATAAACGTAATAAGTGTAGTATTTATTTTAACATTACCATGTTTCAGATAAATAAGAATTAGAACTTGAATTTAGTGGTCTATTGAACACTTGGAATGAGTACTTTACGTAGTATTTTGCCACGTGAAGATGTATTTTATAGATATAGCACTCCTAAAAAGACCCAAAAAATTATAAGTTAAAAAAACTATTACTAAACAAATCTCCCAAGAAAACGTGTTACAACTATTACCTACACAATAGAATTTTGCAATAAAAACTACTATTTAAAAGATAAATAATCTGTTAAATTACTGTATTACTCTACCTCAAATGTTTCATTTTCTTAATTTCGTGAAGTTATAAAGTTGATAACAGTAAGTATTAAGCACCAGTTAAATACTGTTTTCATCACTATTCATTGAATGGTTTAAAATTTATTTGGACCTTTTCACCACTTCGTTCACACAATTTAAGCGATTTGAGGGAAAGTTAACCTCACTATTTTTTTTCTTAATATATTTGGTATAGACGTGTTGGTAAACCCCAGCTGTTAAGCTATTATTTTAAAGATAGGATTAAGTGGAGGGGATTAGATTTCTTCCCTTTAAAGCCGCCTAGATTATGTGAACGGACTATAGTACAGTTATACAAAGTTATACTACAGTATTTACCTTGACGCTAAATAACTACGAAGACTGATTCGATTGCGTTAATGTCATCTGTTACAGTATTAAAATATGTTTGCTCTTTGTATTTAAATGCATGTTAAACGGCACCGTTTATATTCCGTAGCAGTAAGAATTTAAATCAGACTAGCAGAGTACCCGTCCTTCGTACGGGGTTGGCATATAAGTATCAAATGCTTATAGCAGTTATGAGTGAGGACATGGTTTAAGAAATTTCGGTTCTTTTTGAAGTTCGTTCGCTACGCTCACTCACCTTTAGGTTGGAGCTCGTTCGCTGCGCTCACTTTCCTTCAGGTTAGCTCGTTCGCTACGCTCACTTGCCTTCAGGTTAGCTCGTTCGCTACGCTCACTTGCCTTCAGGTTAGCTCGTTCGCTACGCTCACTCGCCTCCAGGTTGAAGTTCGTTCGCTACGCTCACTCACCTTTTGGTTGCAAATTAGCTGTTGTCATAAATGTAAAAGAAATAATGCTAGTGCTGCACCCTGTTGGTAATCCTTGTAACTTTAATGCTATTGAAAATCATAGAACAGAACCAACTTGTTTAATTGAAACAGCTGTTAAGATTCATTAATTCCATTACTCATAAGGTTAACATGGGAACCTTTGCTCCAGAGCCACTGGGGCGGAGCCCGGAAGGATTTTTGGGATAAAAATATGCCTATATGTTAATCGGGAATATGAGCTATCATCATGCCGAATTTCAGCCCGATCCGACCAGTAGTTTTCGCGTTTACTTTTCCCATACACACAGACACCACCTCTTTTTTATAATAGTATAGATAGATGTACAATTTTTGATAAATTTAGATCATAGAGCGTATTTTGTATTTGACATTTAAATCATAATTTTGTTTGTAAAAACGTGTTTCAGTTTTAAGCAAGTCCGCAAGTGGTTGCTATACAAAATTGTACAGTGCCTGAACTTTTTGTATAATATCCATACTTAGGCTGTATTATATTATTTATATGATTTCAATAAAGACTTGGTGAGCGTATGGCAAACACGCACAGTTTTCCGACTTGTAATTGGTACAGTTGTATTATTTTTTTAGTCCATACATGTTGTTGGACTTGTATAAATAACTTTTTAAATGTGTAACTTATTCAAACTGGTCGCCCTAGATAGCATGATTAACCTTTTAAAACATAGTGAAAGGTATTTTCTTAAAGGACCTTAAGACAACATGCAAAAAATATCCATAATTGATAAGTATTTTGTGTTTTAATTTTTAATTTTTGTTTTAATTTTTAGGAAGTAAAATGTTTAATTTAAAAGCTGTTACGTATGCGTTTATCTTTGAAATTTCTTAACAAAACTTTAAAAATTTTACCGCTTATACATTTGATTTTCAAAAAGAACAAATTGGGTGTATTTTATTACAAACTTGATTGAGCAAATTATTCATTTAATTGAGCATACCAAACCTTTTTTGTAAATTATGAATTTAATTGATTGAACATTTAGTTAACTACAATTCACATTTTATTGGTTATATTCTACATATATTTAGTTTATTTCATAAATTCTCAATTAAATCAACTACACGTTTAATTGAGTAAATTATGCATGTAATTGATTACTTTACGCATGTAATTGAGTTGATTAAAATCCAAATAGAGTAATTATTATATTAATTGAGTTGATTAGACATTTCATATAAATAAATGTAATTAAATTACGCATGTAAATCAATAATTGAATTCAGTAAATCAATGGGTCAATTGAAGTATTACTTGAATAGAATAAAATATTTATGTATTTTCTATCAATTAGATGCAAAACAGTTCACGTAAACTACAAACATATTTTGTAATACTTTTAACTATAAAAGTTCTTTATTCAGAGTAATTATTTATTATTTTTTTAATATTTTTTCTCTGTATCTAGAACGACTTACATAGAGGCACTTGAGTGTCGTGAGATGTACCTATCTAGTCTAACCTTTGTAGTTGTGTTTGTACAGCATCGAACCCTTGTACAGTAGGCCTATCGTTCGACGTGTCGGACTCATACCTGTATTGTATTGTATACTACACCCGCATTAATGATTAAAATATTTATTATCAACCAAGTATTTTATTCCTAATAAAACCTCGAAGAAAGTGTTATTCGAACAAAAGATACAGTGTTAAGGTATAAAAATTACTCATGAATGCAAAAGGGTCATGTCCATTTTTTGTGAAATTGAACAGCATTTTATAACTCATTGGAAGTTAAGATAAATCAGTGATGAGTAGTTTTTTAAGGTGAACTACTGAATATTACAATCGTATCAAATTAAAATAATGAGGAGACTGCTAGTGTATATCGCAACCTGACTAAGGTGACATAGATTGAGTTGATGTATTTTATTTTTTTTTGTTTTTAATATAATCTGTAATGACAGAATATTCCAAATTTAAGAATTTTAAAATACCTAAATTAACCCATGTTTAAAGAAATGGTAGTTAATTCAAATATTTGTCCTTCTTTGATTGTAGTTTCTTGTCTACTTTAGACTTTTAGTTTTTAATTAAATACATATTGGGCTTATGACTTTGGTTTTATGTGTGTTATAGGCCCTCCACATTTTAGACCGTAAGAATGTGGTTTCATTTTTTAATCTGAAATGTTTCACGTTTGTAAGTGAACGGTCACTTTAGGCCCATTATACGGATCGACAAATAAATATCATACATTAGTTACGATAACTGTAAATTACAAACTTGTTAAGGCCTAACACCAAATTACCTTGACTTACTATAGAAACGTATAATACATTGAATAAAATTAAAGCAATACACATTTTAATTGTGAAGGACCAAAGACAGCGTAGGCGTTGCATGGACAGACGCCATATTTACAATTTTCTTATTCTTCTCGCCAACAATTATGTTCTGACAGTGGGCATGAGGACAACAGGCGTTCCCAATTTGTCGAAAACTAACTGTTAATGCAAATCGACCCAACACTTTCTACGAGTGACACGTCATTTCGCGTAGGGATGTGTTTGAGTGCGCGAAATGTGTTCTCGTTACGAGAGTGTAAATAGTTGTGTGCACAAAGAATTGAGATAAAGGAGGATGGTTAAGATTTAAAGTTGTATATTGTTGTAATCCAGAAGCGTCACTGGTTTAGTAATAAAATAATGGAATCTCTATTCGGAGGCATAGTTTCAAATCCAGCCAAATACCAATAGTTTTATCCGTGTGATAATCCACGCGACGGTGGATTTGAGGCATCTTAAGCTCTAATAATCTAGAAAACAAAAAAGGCCGAGCCGCTTAGTCAATAGAGCCTTCCCTGTATTGGGCAAACCCTTAACTCCATTTACAAAAAGCCATACGAAAACGGGGGTGTTTATTGCTGCTATGACCCTGGCACAACTATTTAGGTTGCTTAGTAATCAATATTGTAGGGAGAGTAAGAAGAAAATTGAATAACTTCTTTAAAGGTCTAGAGACTAAAACTTATTTTAACAGCCCCACTAAAAAAGAATATAGTTGATAAATTGAAGCAACCTTTTACAATTTTTACCCTTTATTAGACTAAAGAAGTAAATTATGTCAGATTTGTAACAACACTCAACGACTGTCTTAAACACTATTCATGAAATAATCAAAGGATTAAGGTATAAAACTAGTGTACGACGTGTCACTTTTAAAACTATAAATAATCTGCTACAAAAAATTATAAATAATCATACTACATTCTCATACAGCTCAGAAGATATTTTCCATGCAACCACTAGGGTCCACATTCCAATCTCCAGTGAAAATCTTTGAATCATTAAAACCTCAAATCTTATAGACCTGTGATCCCTCTATTAACAGCTGATATCAATTATGACAGTCCTTCAACCACAATCGGAAATTTCATCGATAATTTGGACACTTAAACAGAACTTTCGACGTCAACACAATCAACATGGTTGTCAAACAGAGGGGACGTTTTTAGTGTTCCCCCTCCATCGAAGCTCTGTCAAAATCTGTCGGAGCGAAAGGAGTACTTCTCAAGGTTAACTGACAATAAGCAATCAGATCAAGGGGTTGGAATGGTTG